GAGAGGAAAAAGGAGAGAAGGAGAGAAAAATAAGGAAAAAAGGAGAGGAAAAAGGAGAGAAGGAGAGAAAAATAAGGAAAAAAGGAGAGGAAAAAATGTGAGAAGGAGAGAAAAATAAGGAAAAAAGGAGAGGAAAAAGGAGAGAAGGAGAGAAAAATAAGGAAAAAATGAGAGGAAGAAGGAGAGAAAAAGAGAGAAATAAGGAAAAAAGGAGAGGAAAAAGGGCAAATGAGAACAAAAGCAGAAGAAAAGAGGAAAAAGAAAAAGGAGAAAAAGAGAAATAGTGGGAAGAAAAAAGGGGAAAGGAGAGAAAAAGCAGAAGAGGAAAAAGAAACAGGAAAAAAGAAATAGAGGGAGGAAAAAAGAAAATAAAAGGAGGAAAAATGAGAAAAAGGGAAAGATGAAAATAGAGGAAAAATGAGAGGAAAGACAAAAGAGGAAAATAGAAAACGAGGGAAAAGAAGAAAGAAGAAAAGTAGAGAAATGAGAAAGCAGAAGAAGAGGGGCAAAGAGAGAAAAAGTGAAAAAAAGAAAAAATGAAAAGTGAAAAAAGAGAAAATGTGGGAAAATAGAAAAAAGGAGAGAAAAGGAAAAAAAAGGTGAGAAAAAATACAGAAGAAGAGAGGGGAGGGGAAAAGATGATGAAAGAGAAGGGGAGGAAGAGAAAATAGAGGAAACGGGGAAAGCAAAAGTATTTTTAAAGGTGAAAAAGCAGAAAAAAAAAACATGTAAGGGGAAAAAATTAATCAGCATGTCTGTAGTTGTTTTCTATTTTCATTTGTTTTTTTCCCTGCCACAATAAAGTATTGAAGTAGACAAGGCAAGGGGAGGCAGCAAAGCCTCACCTCTGCTCCCTCCCCAAGGGCATGAAAAACTGAGGCCAAGGAAAAGCAACAAAAAGCCAGGGAGTCACTGAGTCCAAGTGAAAATCCTCTTCCTTGCACGGCTCCTGCGGTGTGGGAATCAAAAAAATAGAAAATTCCTGAGATACTGAAGAGTTTGATCTGCAATCTTAGAAGAAGCTTAGATTAATGTAAAAACGCAATACACAGTCATTAAGCAGGAAAATCGTAAACTTATGTTTCTATAGTTGTAAGTGAAAATATGCCTTAAGTGAGAAATTGTCTGGATAAGATAGTGAAGGGTTATAATGTAGGGGTGTCATTGTGTACAGTAACTGATTTTAGAAGTTATGATAGAAGCATATGTGTGTATGTGAGTTAGAAGCCCACTAGATAAAAGTATCCACAGTGCAGTAGAAATAAGTAGAAGTGATAGGTTGGAAAAGCAATATAAACCCTATGACAAGTGTGTTAGTTTAGTAAGTTATGCATTGTCTTGTAATGAAGAACTTGTGACTGCTCTTGAGCTATGGCCGACTGCTTGCTTGTTTACAATCTCATGGCCTCTGAGACTGATGTTTATCTGAGCAATAAATCGTTCTTAGCCCAGAAATAGTCCCATCCCTTAATTACAAGCAGCAACAATAATTCTGAGGGAAAGGGGGGGTCAGGCAGGCTGTCTGTCCCAGGGAAATGCTGGGATTAGTTATCCATCCACCTGCCCAGCCCTGCCAGCTCCCAGGGGTCTCCACCTGCCTGCTCCCAAAACACCAGGTGAGCTCAGCCCCAAACCCCACCCCTGCACCCACACCGACCTACAGCTCCTAAATCACCTCAGCAGGGCTGAGCCACTGCCCAGCCAGGACATGCAGCTCAGCTGATCCCTTTGAACCACGACTTTTTTAAAGATACAGGGCTAAAGTTTAGCCCCTGAACCTGCCCCCAGAAAGCACGTCTTTTGTTTCCCAAAAAACACATACTCACATACTCCTATATCCACAGGCAATTAACAGGACAAAGAGGAATGGCTTCAAACTGAGAGTAGATTTAGATGGGATATTGGGAAAAACATCTTCCCTGGGAGGGTGGTGAGGCCTTGGCACAGAAAAGCTGTGGCTGCCCCATCCCTGGAAGTGCTCCAGACCTGGTTGGGTGTGGTTTGGAGCAACCTGGGGTATTGGAAGGTGTCCCTGCCCATGGCAGGGGGTGGCACTGGATGGGCTTTGGGGTCCTTTTTTGGTTTGGGTGCCAGGGAACAAAAACAGAGGGAGGAGTCTCCCACCATCCCATGGATGGAAAGGGTGGGATGTGAAGTGTCTCATCTCCCTTCCTGGCCCCTGCTCTCCTGGGTGAGGTCTTCCCAACTTCACAGCTGTTGGTGAGCGAAATGTTTCAGCATCCGCTTGAATTCTGAGTGCTTGCCCAAGTCCATGGATGTTGGTGGGATCAAAGCACGGTGATGTCAGAGAGCGACGGGATTAGGTTTAAAAATAAGCAGGGATGGAAGAACTTGGCTAAATCAGGCTCTGAAAATCCTAGGGGAAAAAAAAAACCAAAACCAAAACTAAAGGCACTCTAGCGGCACTCTGATCACTTGGCCAAAAAAGCAAGTGCAGTGGTTTTGCCTTACTTGGTGTGCCAGAAAATAACATCAGAAAGTCCAAAGTCTTCCACAGCTCTTCAAAAATACCAGCCAGCACCTGGAACCACAAAGCTGCTGGAAGTCTAGGAGTCACAGGCAACCTTCCCTCTCCTGCATTTTGCCAAGGGCAGAGCCCTCGCTGCCCTCTCCGGGTTCCCCTGTCAGGTGTCATTTTATAGGGAGCACTTTCCTCACAGGAGAGCCAGGGCCAATTCCCTTTCAGCTACAAAAGCTAGCTAAAAGGTTAGCTAGGTTTTGTAGCTAAATTTTAATGCCAGGCATTAAAATTCAGGCATTAAAAATCTGCACAATACAAAACCACCTCCCTAGAACAGAGCAAGCAGAGCTGGGAACCTCAGATCAAATGAGCAGAAGGTCGAGGTGCTGCCTGCTTGCCATGATTAATTGGTATCTGACACCAATCCAAGCAGGTGATCCAAGAGATGTGATTGCAGATTGCAGTTGCCGTGGCCAGCAACTCCTTGGAGATGCAGCTGTCCAGGTGATCCATCACTCACTGAAATGAGACAGGCTGGGAGAACTGGGATTGTTCAGCCTGGAAAACAGAATGTTCTGGGGAGACCTTAAAGCACCTTCCAGTGCCTGAAGGGGTTCAGAGAGTGCTGAAGAAGGACTGGATAAGGGGAAATAGCTTCCCACTGCCAGAGGGTGGGGTTAGATGGAAGAAATCCATCCCTGTGAGGATGGGAAGGCCCTGGGACAGGGTGGCTGCCCCTAGATCCCTAGAAATGTCTAAGGCCAGGTTGGACAGGGCTTGGAGCAACCTGGGATAGTGGAAAGTGTCCCTGCCCATGGCAGGGGTGGAATGGGATGAGCTTTAAGGTCCCTTCCAACCCAAAGCATTTTATGATTTAGGAAAGCAAAGCTTTGTAGTTTTTACCCTGGCAACATGTCAGTGTTGGGCAAATGCAGCACTGAAAGCCAGATCATTTTTTAACTGCTTTGGTTTGCATTTATATTTTGTTTAACTGCCTGAACTACAGCAATATGTTCTTTTTTTTTTTTTTTCCAAAAGCACAAGTTTTTACTAATGGGGGTAGGGGAGATAAAAAATCCTGAATCTCTCCCAGTCCTCACAGCCTTTCCCTACTGACTTTGGGAAAACAGGCTGAAAGCACCCTCCCTTTCTCTTAAGGCTTCCCTTTCCAGCTGTGAGGCAGATGGAAGCTGACACCCAGCTCTGCCTACTCAAATCAACAGAGAAATTAAAAAGTAAAAAACTCCAGTCTGCAGCTTTGAGTGCTGATATGACACAGGCTTGGGAATGAGAGAGAAGGCCAGGAAGGTAACGTGCAGATTGTATGGGGTGGGGGAGCATTTTGATTGCACAGCAAGTATCAGAATGGGACAAAGGGAAACATTTCTCCAATTGCACAAGAGTTGGTTTGCGTGCAGCAGGAGCGAGGTGGGAGCAGCCTCACGCACACACAGAGAACAGTGCCAGGAGCTCAAACACCCACCCAGCCACGCCACAGCCCAGGAAGGAAGGCAGGAAGGGATCCATGAAGTGTCCGAAGGGGAAGCCGAGCTTCCTGCAGGATGAACGGGCAGCGCTCGCTTCCTCCCTCCC